AAGGGGATCTGGGAACGGTTTAGATTCACAATTTTCATCAAATATTAACTTCATATTAATTTATTCAAATTAAAGACGTGTAGACAGGACAACGTCTGTCGGGTCCGCTAGTAACCATATAAATATTTCCAATGCCTTTATGAACTTACACATATAGCTCTTAAAATCTAAAATAACATCAGAAGCTTCGGCCGTAGGTGAAATTAATTGTTATCGATGGTCCTGGATTACACATTTGAAACATTCAGAGAGACACGAGACCGTGCACCTACCGAAAATAAGCGCGAGCCATCGTTAATTTGCTACGCATTGTCTTGATCTGTACCGCTCACCGATAAAATTGCTAAGATTTGAAACCAGTCATAATGAACAGAAATATAAGCCGTGACTAGTATGCAATATTTTCCATATCGGAAATTTCCAATCCATACTGTATTTTTTACCGAGCGGATTCTGACTTCGCTAACATAACCATCGTTTAAGTTATAATACCGTACGTGGAAAAATTATGTAATTTCATTATTAATATGTTACAGCAGAGTTTTTTAACTTTATTATGACGCGAATCTTTACCACGGCTGGACGACTAAAAATACAAAGCGCACAAATTCATCGAAGCTTTGCGACCGCCCTGCAAGGCTCTGCCACTTAACAGTGGCAAGTGGTTAAAAGTGTGTGCGCCAGAGGCCTAATTTTAGTCCATTCCCGCCCTTTTCTTAAAAAACTGTATGTAACAAAACCTGTGCCTAACTGCCGTACTCAAAGATGATTTAATGGTCACCTTAGCGGTGTTATGGTCCATTAGAAATGATCGTACGCTATAAAATCTGTAGCGAGGGATTATTTCACGGTGGTATGTTAAAATAATGTTATAATATATTTAATATACAATGTATAACTAACCTATGTATTAAAACTGAAACATATAAGATCTATTGACGTAAATGAAACAATAAACGCGTTCAAAGGTCAATTACATCTCTAAATGGATGTAATTGTACTAAATACATAGTAGACGCGTTTTTTCACCAACACACTTGTACTAAAACATATGTATTAACATCCCTCACATTATCTTCGCAGAAATAAAGACAACAAGATTTACGTCAATCGAGTGTGCCGGTTATGTTGCATTGTTTAATAACCAATTATTTATTGTAGTGTAGACAAGGATTCGAGTTGTTGCTTCGATATTGTTATAGAACCTAATATCACTAGTACTAACCTGGGCACACAGATGGAGTGGTATAGGCCGTGGTTCCGCAGCACATGTATAAACTCAGGCAACGTGCGACACGCCCCCATTATACTGAACAACGCCAGACCGCTGTTCCATACTATCAGAGTCCGCTTCAGTTCAAACCTGCAACAATATGTTATCTTCAAATAACATTTTACATATGGCAATGATAGTTCCGAAAAATAGTAATTGTGAAAACGTAAATGTGTAGTTGTATGCCTGTACAAGCGAGAGGTGCGCCGGGATAGTGTCCTACTACCTCCAAAAAAGTATATTAAACAGCATATGATAAGAATAGAACGTCAGCGTTCTTTTATATATTGTGTATTGTACTATAAAAATGGCGATTTATAACAATATAGGATTATATAGGAAACCATCATTTGTGATCTGCGAATGTGCGTCAAAGTGATCGCATCACGTCCGGCGACCTCGCCGGTACCGCGGCAAGTACCAACATGTCTAAATCTAGACTAGCATTACGTATAGTGCCATCCAAAGTTTATAGCGGCTCGCAATTTGACGCTGCGCAAACCACAATTAGTGATATCACTGGCTATATGGGAGCTGGACACGCTGCTATAAAGTTTGAATCTTGTGATACCGCCACACGATTCATACCGTCCATGTTCAATTTACCAAGGCTCAAAGGTTGTGATCTTTATACCACAATGAAGGATGAAGCATAAATATAATTTTAGACTATGGTATCTCTTACTACAAAATCGACAATTTATCAAATTCAAATTATAAAAATAATCAAGAAGGTGACTTTTCTTTATGGTAATTTCTCCTTAGTATCCGGTAGACATGTGTCCATAATATTGAAGAGTAATGCGGCAGTTATTAACATTCCTGTCATGTTGATAGATTGTAATTACCTCAACATCGCTGTTTGAAAAACTTGTCTTCAGGAAAATAAGTCGGCATGCTTTGCATAACTCAAAATCCTGATGGCCATTACATTGATCAGCCTGACTTTGATTTACTTACGACCAAACCCTACACGATTATAGGGTTATCTCGAACCCTTCTGGCTTTATTTCAAAGTTTTTTAACATACATTTTTAACTACACAATTAAATTTGAATTTAACTAAACCACGGTTTGGGATAGCAAAAGAGATATCTGATCTATTGTTTTAGGGCGGTCGAATGATATCTATTCTCCCCTCCCTCTCTCATATAATTTTTTGATCGTTCGATTATTTATTTCGGCTATAGTCCATCAAAATATGTCGTAACTAAATCATGAATCAAAGGATCTGTACATCTACGTATTAATTCCTTTCTTAATTGAAAAGTATAAAAGTTGATTTAAAATGAAACAAAAAAAAAACAATAAAAATATTTTCACATACGTGACTGCAAGTGTAATTTTGTCAAGCAGTGAATTTAGTTGTAACTGATATGAATAGATAATAAAATATGCATAATTAGTCACGACGGAAAATCTTACGATATAATCAAGACATGGAACGCTACTGCGTTCAAACAAGTATTGATGAATATTGTCATCCCTTACATTGTCTTAGAAAAAACAGAGACAGAATGCATTGAGAATTTTCTACTAAAAGTTTGGTTTCAAATTGCGCGATATATGGAATATTTTTTTCTAATTTATTTATAGGATAGTTTATTATTAATACGTAAATAAATTACCAACAATCTACGGGTTGCCATAAGCAAAAATACTCTATAGCTATTTTTTATACGGTTATGTAATTTATTACCGTTTACTATTCACACAGAGAGATTCATTAAAACATCAGAGACTAGATGAATTTCATACAAGTGTTTATTAAGTGAGTTTCCTATGCCGAAAAACTCGTTACAGTCATTCCGAACATTTTCATTGGAAACAAATGTGAAATTAAGTTTTATACTGGTGTCTAGGTGGTTGCTTATCGTAAACAAAGCAGTAGGTTATGTACCTACATATGCACTTGTTTCAATATTCCGCTTAAACTACTGTTGTAATTATTTTAAATTAAACTTGCGATTTACCAGCGACAATTTTTCTGAAGCATTTAAATGCAGTGATACTCGCAAGTATTCGTAAATAAAGTGGAAACGCGCTGCGACTTCAATTCCCGGAGCCGAGCGGCAGCAGTTCGCAGACGTTTGCACAATGGAACGAGCTATTACACTGCCTGGAGGCAATGCAACGCGAGAAACGATAATTGCACTTCACAGTGTTGTATGTTCAACTTAATGAAGTCGCAAGACAATATAATTGTACATAAATTGAGGAATCGAGATAACATTAGGAGTCAATTTTGTTAACAACGTATTAAATATTTCCTCTTCATAATAGGATAGTAGCATATTAAGATACGGAAAAAGATTATGACGTTAATGCAATTATCAAAGTAGTCTAGGTACTTTCCATTAAAAATAAAAAATAAAACAATTTACATTTCACGGGAAATTACGTCAATGAAAATTAGCACAAAATTAACTAGCGTAATGAATTAAATTAAAATAAATAAAATACTTAATTGAACTGTGAATTACGATTAGCGAACCATTAGTATAAGTTCATATTGTCATTTTGCTTACACTTTTTGAATAAACAGAAAAAACAATCCGTCTGTACAGAATTGCTACGGCATTGAACTTCCGCGGTGAGTTAGTGTGAGATTTCTAAAACATTCCAGACACGTAAAACCTAAACTAATAATTAAATAAATATTTTATAACAGCTAAATAAAATTAGAGTAACATTTGAACTTATAAATTATCTTTATTTATTGCCCGATCGGCAAGAGAGAATGTTTTTCACGGAAATGTATTCATGGTTGTACGTAAACATAACTTTAGGTGTGTTATTTGTTGCCTGTGGCAGAACGGATTGGAAAAAAATTAAAGTACGAAGTACTAAGTATCATTTAATTGGTATTCATTCCCTGACTTGATACGGGTTAACATGAGCAAGTATCACGAATTCGCCTCATGTCAGTTTCCATTAATTATACATCTACATATTCTAGTATGTTAATAAGGTAGCCGGAAACAAATTAACTTTTCCCCTTATTTATATAATTCTACGTCTAAAATGGTTATATTCTTAAAATGAACATCGAAGTATTGTGCCGGTTACACGTCAGCGTGGAGCAGTAACTAAGATTTATAACCGTGAGGGAGAAGCCTTTGGAAATGAGGTACAAATCAGTGTCATCCGATTTGAATTCATACGATACAATTTGGTTGTTGGTAAGCAAACGTTATACAGTCGGTGTCCCGTTGCAAAAGAACATAGAAGAAAACATAAGATCATCTTTTCTCCTAAAAAAAAGATAAACACAAGTACATCAAGGTATATGGAAGTAGGTACAATTAATAATGATTCGTTGTTTACTCCGCATTATAAAAACGAACGGTTTTTCCTTATGACGCGAATAGGTAAGACAGGTAGAATTGAGGTACGGGTGGGTGTCAAGGATCATTAATTTTTATATTATTTGCTAAAGTCTCGTTAATATATAACACAAAATTAAGAGTAAAAAATCGATTAAGAAACAATTGCGCAAATGGATGGAAGTGCTGAAAGCTGTGAGACTGAAATTTAAAAATAAAAATATAGAAAATACACAACAGAGTAATAAAAGGAATATTTATTTCCTAGATATATATTAGTTCTGCGAATCTGCGCATGTTATTTATTATCCATGTAGGTAATTTTTATGTGCGCAACATCCGACACTTAAATATATAAACAGTACATAGTGGTCGTAAGAAATATTATTTAGTTAGGGTCAGGTGTTACTTTAAACAATCACATAATAAAATAAATGATTATGAAAAAGCCACTTTACCAGTGGTTAAGGAAATATTTTCTATTCAATTAAAATCCAATAAGTACTGATTTCATACGAATTTGTTAATAAAAACTTATCTCATAATGTCCAAATATAAAATAGCCTAAATACTGCTTCAAACTCCTACTTATCGATAGATTTTTTTGTAATAATATTTCACCTATACTACCTATATAAAGAAAGAAGATTTGATTGTTTGTTGTTTGCATTGTATAGGCTCCGAAACTACATGACCTATTTGAAAAATTCCTTCATTGTATGGAAGCTACACTATCCCCGGGTGATATAGATATAATTAGAAAAAAGATATTTAAAAGATTAAATAGACAAAGTCGTTGCTTGCTTTTATAAAATGAGAGGCAAAAAAATTGTCATTATGAAAACATTCAAGGTCACTCACAATCTACGTAAATCTTTACGTTGCATTTTTTGCCAATGAAATATCATGATAAGCGGAAATATATTTAATTTTGACAATGCCTGTATGAAAAATACGTAATATTAATGCAACAAGAAATATGACATTTATCAACTACGATCTTAATGCTTAAAAGTTATAATTTACTGCAAATTCCAATCGAAACATAAGATAGGTATCATCGGATCTCTATAACATGTAAACATGTATTAGTGAAGAAAGAATAGCCATGACGTTATCTTTGAAGGACATTAACATATTACAAACATGGCACAACAACAGTCCTCGGTCAGTGGAAATCCCGGATCTTGGCATAATTCAGCATTCCCCTCAAGAAGCAAAAAAAAAAGATCGGCACTCGTCGCAATACATATACGACGAATCTTGACTAATGCAAATATAATTTGAGATGTAAAGGTTTATGTTTTCCTGCACAGCAATATCGCGTGTAAACAATAAATGTAAATTACGTTTGTTTTGATATGTCAGAAAAGACGAAGGTAATTCGAGACGTCAGTAGACTCGAAAGAAATGTCCCTTGAGCATTTTCAAACATGTTTTAAAGTACAAAGATCCCACATAAGTCCGTAAAGTTAAGAAACATATCTGCGAAACAAACTTATAGTTAGTGTTTCTTTTATGTTAATTAAAAAAAATTGCTTTTTTTAAACAGATTAATTGCTGAAACGCTAGCGAGATAAGACCAAGGGTTGTGGTCGACGGGTCCTCTGGCTTTGCCTGTCTTTGTTGATACGCGCCGACCGAACCGAACTAAGTCTTCCTCCGGGTTTGTTCCCCGTAATTTACCAATTCAAAGATATAAAGTCAGCCAACATGCAATGTTCCGACGTAGTTGAATGGCCTAGTCACACCTATCTTGACAAT